CATATCTCTATGACTAAAGAAATATTTCCTAACATCTTTTTGACTCATCTGAGTCAAAAAACGTCCAGTGTGACCCCTTGTACCTTTGGAACACCCTGTCTCTGAGTCTCAATGTCAATTCCTTGCAATATTTTGTATGTCTTTATCATATCTACTCAAATCCTCCTGTCCTCCAGTGTCGTCATTCCAACTTTCCTAAACCTTTCTTCATAGAGCATTCCCGTTAGCTCTGGAATTAGCTTTGTTGCAAGCGTTTGCACTTTCTCTAATTTCTTGACTTACTTGACTAGATGTGGGTACCAAATTGGTGATGCATACTCAAGCATGAGCCTGACTTACATGGTGTACAGAGACTTGAACGATTTGTTACTGAGGTATCAGAATGCTATTTTCAGGTTTGCCAGGAACCCATATGCTACAGCAGTTATCCGGCTCATGTGTGCCTCAGGAGATTTGCTTGGTATTACACTGTCTCCAAGATTCTCTTCCTTGAGTGAGGTTTGCATTCTTTAGCCACCTGGCCTATACACAGTCTGCGGTCTTCTTTGCCCTTCCACGATCTTCATGACTTTGCACTTGTTTGGGTTGAACTCTAGGAGCCAGTTTCTGCACTAATCCTAGAGCCTCCCCTGGATCCTGCATGATCCTCATCCTATTCAATTTTCCTCACTAACTTCACATCATCTGCAAACAGGGTCACTTCCGAGTCTATCCCTTCTGTCATGTCATTCAAATACATGAAAAATAGCACCAGTCATAGGACTAACCCCTCTGGAACCCCGCTCATCACCTGCACCTACACTGATACTTTGCCAGGCACCATGACTCGTTATTGCTCCCCTGTCAGGTATTCTCTGATCAATTGCAGTGCCCTTCCTGTTATACGTGTCTGATTCTCTAGCTTTTTCACTAATCTATTGTGAGGAAGTGTGTCAAAGGCCATCTTGCAGTCCAAGAAGATGCAATCGACCCAACCGTCTCAGTCTCATGTCTTACTTCCGTTGCCTTGTCATAAAACTCCAGTAGTAGATTTGTGACACAAGATTTACCTTCAATGAATCCGTGCTGGGTGTCGTTTATAAGCTTGTTCCCTTCTAGGTGCTCCACCACTCTCCTCCTGCTAATCTTCTCCATGACTTTGCATACAATAAACGTTAGTGACACTGGTCTATAATTTATTGTCTCGTCTCTGTCTCCTTTCCTAAAGCCATAGCTTAGGTTGTTGCAGTGTCAATGGTTGTGAGGAAAATTGTTGTTAGTGGCAAACACGGCATCTCTGTTACCTCTCAATGGGCCCACGGAGATATGTACGGTCCCATCGTCCTTGAGATTTCCATGTCACCTAGTAGCTTCTTCACATTCTCATCGGTTGTGTGTATTTCTTAAACACTTGTTGGTGTACCACCTGTTCTGACTTCCAGGTGTCCTTTCTGTCTCAAATGTTGAGTTCACATACTTCTTGGTCGTTTCTTGTAAGCTTCCAACCTTCTTTCCTCAGCCTTATAACCCGATCCTTGACTGTTGACTTCCTCCTGATATGGCTATTCAACAGCTGATAAATATGTCTTTTTCGTACTGTCACTGGGTCTCCTTCCTTATCTGTGCATACTCGTTTCCGGAGCTTTGATTAATCTCTTTATTTTCATTGATCCTTTCCCTTCTGTACATTTTGCATTCTCTAGTGCACTTAGTTTTTGCTTCCCTATACCTTTAAGTAAACCAAGAGATCGTTCTGGTTTTCCCATTATTTCTGTTGCCCTTGGAAACAAAGCTTTCCTCTTCCTCCTTGCATTTTGTTGTTACCTAGTACATCATTCCATTTACTGCCTTTCCTTCCAATTCTCTTTCCCACTGAATCTACTGCAGGAAGTTCGTCATGCCTGTGTAGTTCCCCCTTTCGTAGTTTGGCTTTTCCCATCCTACTCCTGTGTGTGTGTGTGTGTGTGTGTGTGTGTGTGTGTGTGTGTGTGTGTGTGTGTGTGTGTGTGTGTGTGTGTGTGTGTGTGTATGTGTGTGTGTGTGTGTATGTGTGTTTGTGTGTGTGTGTGTCTGTGTGTGTGTGTGTATGTGTGTGTGTGTGTGTGTGTACTCACCTATTTGTGATTGCAGGGGTCGAGTCTTAGCTCTTGGCCCTGCCTCATCACCGGTTACTACTGAGCCCTCTCTCTCCCCACTCCATGAGCTTTATCAAACCTCGTCTTAAAACTATGTATGGTTCCTGCCTCCACTACGTCACTTTCTAGGCTATTCCACTGCCTGACAACTCTATGACTGACGAAATACTTCCTAATATCTCTAAGACTCATCTGTGTCTTCAACTTCCAATTGTGACCTCTTGTTTCTGTGTCCCCTCCCTGGAACATCCTTTCATTGTCCACCTTGTCTATTCTGCGCAGGATTTTATGTGTCGCTATCGTGTGTCCCCTGACCATCCTGTCCTCCGGTGTCGTCAGGCCGATTTCCCTTAACTTTTCTTCATATGACATTCCCCTTAGCTCTGGAACTAACCTTGTCGCAAACCTTTGCACTTTCCCTAGTTTCTTGACATGCTCTATCATGTTACTGTTACTTTATCATAAAACTCCAGAATGTTTGTGACACAGGATTTGCCTTCCATGAATCTGTGCTGGTTTGCATTTATACTCTTGTTCCATTCCAGGTGCTCCACCACTCTCCTCCTGATAATCTTCTCCATAACTTTGCATACTATACACGTCCGTTACACAGGTCTATAGTTTAGTACCTCTTTTCTGTCTCTTTTTTTAAAAATGGGAACTACATTTGCCATCTTCCATACCTCAGGTAGTTGCCCAGTTTCCAGGGACGTGTTGAACATTGTGGTAAGTGGCACGCACAGCATGTGTGTGTGTGTGTGTGTGTGTGTGTGTGTGTGTGTGTGTGTGTGTGTGTGTGTGTGTGTGTGTGTGTGTGTGTGTGTGTGTGTGTGTATGTGTGTGTGTGTGTGTGTTTGTGTCTGTGTATAGTGTGTGTATGCAATCGAAATATTGAGGGTAAAATCAGAGATTGAGACATTTTTGGTTTATGAATGCAAATTTTCATGGCCAAATTTTCTGGCCATTTGTCTAGAAATTAACTCGAAATGTTTTCAGATATTATAGAGAGAAGTGGATATGTACTTAAAAGCAAATTTAGTTCAATTTAGTATTTTGAACATAATGCAAACGAATCTCATATGTTAAAATGTTTTCTCCTTCTAATTTATATTTCTTTGGTCTCAGCAGATGTTATAGCTATTTCAGAGTAAGTTAGTTCCCACCCTGTCATCTTATTAAACATCTCTTTAGAAGCTGTGTTATTTTTTATTACATGGCAGAGAGGAATGCAACCATTACAAGGGAGTAGTCTCACTGCTACTCTTGTTACCAGATTTCAATGGCACTAGCCTCCTGAAGTCCTTCGTGGTCTGTAACATAAACAGAATTCCATAAACGGTGGGATAAATCCTAGACACGGGTACTTCATTGTTTCCAGCGTCGGGTAAATTCTCGATGTCCAGGAACACCCTTTTGTTACACTTGGATCAAGGTACACAGCGACCATTAAAATGGTATAAAATACCGACAGATTGTTAGGTAAGACACATATGCAACAGTTAGGTATCTTTATTTTGAAACGTTTCGCCTACACAGTAGGCTTCTTCAGTCAAGTACAGAAAAGTTGATAGAAGCAGAAGATACTTGAAGACGATGTAATCAGTCCATCACCCTTAAAGTTTTGAGGTGGTCAGTCCCTCAAAATAAAGATACCTAACTGTTGCATATGTGTCTTACCTAACAATCTGTCGGTATTTTATACCATTTTAATGTTCATTCTGTCAGACACTGCAACACAAGGGTATCTTGGTACAGACCATCTACTTCGACAACCTCTACTAGTGAGAACGGCTGGGTTTGAGAAGGACCTGCCCTCCCAAATCAACCTACGTCTCACCTCCTGGCACTATATAAGGCCCGATTCTGTCACTTCAACTTCATATTGTTTCAGACAACGGAACAATGCTCTTCTCCAGACTGAGGGACTGACCACCTCAAAACTTTAAGGGTGATGGACTGATTACATCGTCTTCAAGTATCTTCTGCTTCTATCAACTTTTCTGTACTCGACTGAAGAAGCCTACTGTGTAGGCGAAACGTTTCAAAATAAAGATACCTAACTGTTGCATATGTGTCTTACCTAACAATCTGTCGGTATTTTATACCATTTTAATGTTCATTCTGTCAGACACTGCAACACAAGGGTATCTTGGTACAGACCATCTACTTCGACAACCTCTACTAGTGAGAACGGCTGGGTTTGAGAAGGACCTGCCCTCCCAAATCAACCTACGTCTCACCTCCTGGCACTATATAAGGCCCGATTCTGTCACTTCAACTTCATATTGTTTCAGACAGCGGAACAATGCTCTTCTCCAGACTGAGGGACTGACCACCTCAAAACTTTAAGGGTGATGGACTGATTACATCGTCTTCAAGTATCTTCTGCTTCTATCAACTTTTCTGTACTCGACTGAAGAAGCCTACTGTGTAGGCGAAACTTTTCAAAATAAAGATACCTAACTGTTGCATATGTGTCTTACCTAACAATCTGTCTGTATTTTATACAATTTTAATGTTCATTTTGTCAGACACTGCAACACAAGGGTATCTTGGTACAGACCATCTACTTCGACAACCTCTACTAGTGAGAACGGCTGGGTTTGAGAAGGACCTGCCCTCCCAAATCAACCTACGTCTCACCTCCTGGCACTATATAAGGCCCGATTCTGTCACTTCAACTTCATATTGTTTCAGACAACGGAACAATGCTCTTCTCCAGACTGAGGGACTGACCACCTCAAAACTTTAAGGGTGATGGACTGATTACATCGTCTTCAAGTATCTTCTGCTTCTATCAACTTTTCTGTACTCGACTGAAGAAGCCTACTGTGTAGGCGAAACGTTTCAAAATAAAGATACCTAACTGTTGCATATGTGTCTTACCTAACAACGTACACAGCGACCGCTGGCACATTCTCCGTCAGCCTCCACATGAGCTCCTGTGATTTATTATTCAAGAAGGTGTTCTTCAGTAACAGATGTTGCAGTCCCGCCTTTCCCAGTCGACAGACACGGAAACCTGACCCACATCTGTAGAAATGTAGACCTTGCTCAACGATTATGAAATATATTGCTAATGGCCTGTTCTGAGTGGAGTGTTAAATATTACTTTGCTAACATAGCTTCCTCAAAATGCTTTTAGAAACAAAGTCACATTTTAGAAAAATATGATTTTTTTCGGGTTATAATTCTCAAGAAAGATAATATTAAATTATTAATTCTTTTTGATATATGTAATAAGTAGTGTGAAGTGGTTCTCTGAAATGAAGGGCAACATTTGAGTTGTGTTGAAGAGCAAGTGGAAATCGTTAATAAGATACATGGGTGTTACAAAAAACGTGATTTCTAATAATGATAGAGATCTCCAGTGAATACTAGAAAGGACTGCCCTTCTAGCATCCAGCCTGTTACTGGGTTTTTGTAACAAGTAGTCAGTATCCTGGTCCAATTATCCATTAGAATATAGTAAGATTCAATAGTGCTTCAGGATTACAACTGGTAGGCTACTAAATAAATTAAAATTTAATAAGTTTATTAAAAACAATAAAGTTGTCTAGGCGTATATTATCAAAGTAAATTAAAGTAACCAAAATAATCAAAATAATCACTTCTCTCGTGTACAGTAGTATTGTGCTGAAGGCACATATCACATCTTTATGGTTTTTAAGTACCGTCTGGCACATTGTTAGCATTTAATAACATAATACAAATATATACAAGTAAGTTTGTGTGTATGTGTGTAAGTGCTCTAAGTGTTTCGCTATGACTCAAGACTCGACTAGACTTAACCAGCGACTGACTAAAAGTCCTCACAGAAACTAACTTTTTGATCAAGCTGGGAATCAGAACAGCTTGCTTGAACAATAAAACAATTGATTAGCCGAACAGCAATATTACAAGCAACAGCAAGACAGAATCGGGAACAAGGAGATAATATAACGACACTAAGTAGGGACCATCTGCAGATCCTCCGCAAAAGTCACAAAACTCCCATACTACTGAATCTAAGTTCAACATTAGAAAATCCCCGACCATGACAGTACACAGATACCAGTACAAATTATATCTGAAGCTACAGCTCAGGACCTGAGTTTCTCAGAGTGTCTATGCGACACACAACCTCAGTACAGCGTCGAAAATCACTAAGTCTAGGCAATGTTCCGAGAACAGAGTTTCACAGAACTAACAACAAGAAAGTGACAGAGACGATCTTCCAACAAGGGCCATCAAGGGAGAATTGGAGAGGCCGTCTTGTTGGAAGGCACGTCAAATAGACAAGAGCTAGTGCAGGCCAGGCAGTCTCACTCCTGGCTAGGTGTGATCACCTCACCATGATCACGTGACTCTCTGTGGACTGCTGCTGCCCAGCAACTACAAAGAAGCCTGCAACGAAACAAGCGAAGTGAAAACTACACTAGTTAGACAATGCTGTCAGCTACTTAACACTCGAACTATGAGCACTGAATATATAAATGTTACATCCTACCTAATAATATAACTAAGTCAAATAATAATATAAAGCAATATATTTACGATTTAGCTATTATCGCAAATATAAGCAAAATAAAATTATATGAGCAGGTAATATACAATATATACATTGTGACCCACTCGCAATAATGGGCAATTCTAGATATTTTTATTGGCAAGATGTTTAGCCTGTTTAGAAAACTTTTATGTATTATACTGGAGAGAGGAAGAAGCAGATAGGTAATTTTATGGTTTTCAGTCCATAAGCTTTTAATAGGTGCTCAGTCTCTTAGTCATGAAGTAAAGGAATAAGTCTGTGACTTGTATACTGTAGCCAGAGAAGAGGTGCAGTAACTAAAGATATCACAATAAGTGGAAGACTGAGACACTTATGCAACATAAGTGTCTCAATCTTTCTTTTGGAAACGTTTCGCCACACAGTCCCTTGATCGAGAGAATTGGATTTGTACTCCTGTTCTGTGAATTGAGACTGAATACCTTCCATCCCCCCCACATGCTTTGTTTAATCTTAAGGGTTTAGCGCTCCCACATAATTACAATAATTCGCAACACAGTTGGTTCATCAGTCCAACACAAAGCAGAGAGGGGTAAGGAGAGGAGGAGTTTGAGGTAATCAGTCCCTCAGCCTGGAATCGATGTGTTCAGTGCATCATTCTTGTAGAAAGTACAGCATATGTATATATTATATTCACCATGACTGGGGTCCTGGCACGGGTCTTAATCTTGCGGTGAAGGGTCATCACGCCAGGACCCCAGTCTTGGCCAACATTATACATACATATGCTGTACTTTCTCTACCTTATGAACTCATTTCTGCTTTGTATTGGACTTAAGAAGCCACTGTGCAGAGAAACCTTTCCTTTAATAAAGATTCCCATATGTTGCATAAGTATCTCAGCTAATACTAGTAAGTCATGACAAACACAATCAGAGTATCACGATACTATTGAAGAAAATATACATTTTAACAAGATTACATTTTGTTGATATGTCAGCCTAAGCTTTTTTTTGTACTGGAGACAATAGAGGAAGAGGTAATTAAGATATTCAGTCCGTAAGTTGTAATAGGCGTTCAATTTCTTAGCTTTAATCAATCTACTGCAGAGAGATGATAGAGAAGAAGTGCAGTAGTTATGATCGTCATAGATGGTTGTGGTGGAGAGATGATAGAGAAGAGGTGCAGAAGTTATAAACATCATAGATGGTTGTGGTGGAGAGATGATAGAGAAGAGGTGCAGAAGTTATAAACATCATAGATGGTTGTGGTGGAGAGATGATAGAGAAGAGGTGCAGTAGTTTTAAACATCATAGATGGTTGTGGCAGAGAGATGATAGAGAAGAGGTTCAGTAGTTATGATCGTCATAGATGGTTGAGAGTCACTACTCGAAGCTGGTCTTCCTCATTTGGTAGACCAGATGTTCATATTAACGTTTTAGAAAATATCAATATATTAAGTTTGCTTTGTGGTGCTTTGTTATACTAGCATACTGGCACATGCAAGGAAGGTCCAAATCTTCTACTGGCTTAAGCCAATACCCTAGCCTAGTCAGGTCAGGTCTAATTCACTTAAGGAAATAGCACGGCATCTGACCTAGTAGCTTGTGCTACTAGGTCAGATGCCATGTCCAAATCACACCCCACCCACACCCACTCATGTATTTATGTATTTATCTAATCAATTTTTAAAATTACACAACGCTTCAGGCTCTATAACTGTTCTCGGAAGTTGGTTCCACTCACCACAACTTTATTACTAAACCAGTGCTTCCCTATATCCTTCCTGAATCTGAATTTTTTCCAACTGAAGCTATTGCTGCGAGTCTATCCAGGCTAGATATTTGAAGCAAGCTATTTGCATCCCCTTTATTTATTCCTGTTTTTCATTTATACACCTTAATCATATCCCTCCTAATTCTACGCCTTTCTAGAGAGTGTAGATTCATGGCCCTCAATCTATCCTCATAGGGAAGATTTCTGATACATGGGATCAACTTTGTCATCCTCCTTTGTGCGTTTCCTAGTGCATTTGTATCCATTCAGTAATACGGTGATGAGAACTGTGCAGTATAATTTAAATGAGACCTAACAAAGATATATAGAGTTGAAGCAGAACCTTAGGACACTCATTATTTATGATCCTTGATATGAAGCCAAGGATTCTGTTCACTTCATTGTGATCACTTATGTACTGTTGTCTTGATTTTGGATTACTGCTAACCAGAACGTCCAAATACTTCTTGCAATCAGTAATATTAAGATCTACAATATTTAGTTTATGTGTTGCATGGTTATTTTCTTGTCCAATGTTTAGAACTTTGCATTTGCCTATATTAATCTGCATCTGCCACTTCTCTGACCACTGCATCATCGTATTCAAATCTTCCTGGAGTGCTCTAATGTCCTCATTAGAATGAATTAGCGAACCTATTTTGATGTCATCAGCAAACTTGCTTTGTCACTAATTATTCCCTCATCAATGTTGCTTATATAAACTGTGAACAACAAAGGGCCCAACACCGACCCCTGTGGAACACCACTCTTGATGTGCCACCACTCTGATTTCTCCCCATTGATGCAAACTCTCTGCTGCCTTTCTGTCAACCACTCTGATATCCAGAAAAAGGTTCCTCCTCCTATACTGTGTGCCTCAGTTTTCCTCAACAGCCTCAGTGTAATATTCATTACCATGATCTACCTCCTCAAATACCTTGTGGTATTTGAGGAGGTTTCGTTGAAAATCAATGTATTCTGAGTGTAGCAATAGAGTAAGTTTTAGGGAAACAAGTTATAGGCAGAATGAGGCAGAGTTATTGGGGAATATAGGAAAGCCAGTGGCATTAGAAGACAGGGAGAGTAACAGGCATAATGGAGGAACAGAAATCAGCAAGAAGAGAAAAGAGATTGAAGGGTTTCGGAAAATATATACTAATTGTTGTAGTGCGATAAATAAGATGGATGAAATGAGATTAGTTGCAATTGCAGGTATCATTGATGTTTTTGCTATAACTGAGACATGGTTTAATATCAAAAATTGAGACATGTCTGCTGAATGTCACATTCAGGGTTTTAAATTGTTCCAAGTAGACAGAAGTATTGGAAAGGGAGGTGGCGTGGCAATCTATGTCCAAGATTGATTAAACTGTTGCATAAAAACGGGTATAAAGTCTGAATCACATACAGAATCTGTTTGGGTTGAATTTTCAGAGAGGCATGAAAAATTGGTTTTAGCCGTGATATACCGTCCCCCAAACTTGGATGGAGACCGAGGAAAACAACTGTGGGAGGAAATCGTTAGGGCCACAAGGCATCATAATGTAATTCTAGCTTAAGTTATATTGATTGGAATTCATTGACTGGGAATTTAGAGTTTAAAGACTTTTTAAAGATAGTTCACGTTTGTTTTGTAAAGCAGTTTGTTACAGAACCAACAAGGGAAAATAACCTGCTTGACTTCGTCCTGGCAAACAAGGAATCCCTTGTTATTAATTTAGAAATTTCAGAGGAACTTGGTGCAAGCGACCACAAATTTAGCATTGAA